GAGAGAGAGAGAGAGTACATACCTTTTCGACATTGATGGCCTTGTGAAGTATATTCAATATACGCTGTTTCTCATAGTAGGGCAGCTCAAACTGGCCCTTGTCGAGTCTGTCCATGGTCACATTAGTCAGAATGCACTCAAAGTCGGTCACATCGTAGAAGTCCGGAGTGTAAACGAGTGGCCGCTGTTTTTGGCTATCGTTGTTGAACCACAAGATCTTAAACTTGCGGCTCTGCTTAAACACATTCTGTTTGGTCCGACATATATAGTAACCGTTGGAGTCGTTCCTAACGGCCAGGAATTCGTTCTTATGATAGATAATCACTTTGTCCTCCACTGCTTCGTCCGGTTTCGTACGTTTGGCGGCCGCTGTGGACACCGACGCCCTCAACAGCAGCGGCAACGCCTGCAGCGGTTCCGGCGACTGGAACGGCTGGTACTGTAGCCGCACCCGTTTGCTGGCCCTCTGTTGGCTATTCTCTGCTGTTGCGGCGGTGGCGGCCGGTGTGGCTGCGGGTGTGGCCGCCGGTGGCGTACTGGAAGCCGAGCTGTTACGCTCGGGTTTGGTGGGCGTCCGCCGAGTATCTGCCGGCCGATTGGGTTTGGTTTCGACGGCTGAGGCGGTGGCGACCGTCGCGCCAGTGGCCGGCAGTTTACGTTTGGCCCCTCTTTGCGGTGGTTTGACCGCCGGTTTGGCCATAGAATTTTTAGTCGCATCTGAAATAATAATTTATATATAGAGTGAATTGAATAATACAGTATAGCAAAAGTAATCAAGGGCAAAGTAACAAAATAATTAAATGCTATTAAAATAAACGCCATAATCAGATAAACCCAATAAGAAGTAATCACGGTGAATTAATTCTAGCTCATAACCACAGCCAAGTTTTTATCATCATATATCGCGGCGAATAATAATAGACATTTGCAAAACACGTAGTAAACATAAATTACCTGCGCTTGACTTTTGGGCGGCCAAAAAGTTGGCCATTAGTACAGGCGTTGGCGAACTCTTCGTGGCCCGAACGAGGTTCGCCGCCGCCCGACCGTTGGCCGTAGTCTTTGTGGCCACCGCTGTCGCCGCCGTTGCCAACGATTTGGCCGCCGATGCGGTGCCGCTATTATTGGTCGAATGTCTGGTCACTCGACGACTGTTGTCAGCGGCGGCGCTATTATTTGCGGTCGACTTCTTGTTGGCGATCGCGAACGCGATTAGCGCCGACTTCTCGTCCCCTTTGGCCGACTTTTGCTGCGTTAATACTAGTGGTGGTACCGCCTGTGCGGTGGCGGCGGCTGCGGTCGCCGGTGCAGAGACTTGTGACGGGAGAGCCACTGATGGCTGCGAGATAGGGGTCGTTGCCGGCGGATCTGACTCCTGTTTAACAGCCGTAGCGCTGGGCAGCGATGTCGTAGTGACCGGCGCTGAGGCTACAGGTGCTGAAGCAGCGGGCAATGGTTGCTGAGAGGCTACTGGCGCTGATTTGGTGGCAATTTTGGTCTCCTTTACGGATAAAAATTGACAAATAAAATAAAATTAGTAAATATAATGATCAAAATCTCCCAAAATAACTAACGAGTGCTACTGTAGCCGGTGCTACGGCCTGTTTAGCAGCCGTAGCGCTGGGCTGCGACGCCGTAGTGGGCGGCGCTGAGGCTACCGGTGCTGAAGCGGCGGGCAATGGTTGCTG